ATCCTCCCTGAACTTTCGCAATCCTTAGAAAGAGACACATTATTACTGCTTGTGTAACAGTCTCCGGGCCACAGAGAGGCCGAGGCATGGCTGGGCCTGGGCCACCTCCTGCCAGACGGTGGGACGTAGGGCCCCTGGATCCACTTCCTCCACCCCCTCCCTCCTGCAGGCCTGCTGCTCGCAGGGGCACTACACACATGGCTCACGCTCACTCTTGCTCTCTCTCTCTATCGGCTGCCCCCACTCCAGGCTGGGCTTGCCGAGCCCACACTTCCTCACGCCAATAGCTTGTCTGCCCTTGCTCAACACTGCAGACAGACATGACACAGACTGGCGGGGGGAGGTGGGGAAACCAAGCCACCTCGAGTCAATGGCCTGATTCTTCAACACTCCAGACTGGCCCCCACACTCCAGCAGCTCCCAGGGAGAGCAGAGGGGCTGCACCAGGAGGGTGGAGGGCCTGGCCTAGCTCTCTCCAAGAGGGGTCCCAGAGGCTCAAAGGACAACTCACTTATGGGTAGCCATGCAGATCAGCTGTGCCAGGGAGAGGCCATTCACGGCAGGGACAAACCAGGGGGTCTCCCAAAACCCGGGGAGGGGGGTCTCCCACTGTGAGCGGCCAGGCCAGGAGAGGGCCTGCAATTGGCTTTCCCATGGCTCTGGACCTGCTGGTCATCTCTGGGCACACCCAAACTGCCACCTTCCCAGGTGGAAGAGTCCCTGCCAGCCCCACAGACCCCGTTGGACTGCAGACGGAGATTCAGGAGCCACACCTCAGAGCACCTGATCCTCTGTCTCCAGAGCTGGGAGCAGGGCCCACCACCCAAGCCCCCCCACTCCCAGACCCATACAGGAGGACGCGTGGGGATCAGATACACTGCTCTATGAAGGTGGCCAGGTCCGGCCAAGAGAACAACACAACAGGTGAGCCTTTAGGTACCAAACAGCCAGCGATGCCCGGCATGGGTGCCAAAGACTGTTCTGTGAGCAGTGCGTCAAAGCCAACCCCGGCCATCCTCACCGTCCTTTCAGTGGTTAACTACCGCTTCAAAGGGCACCAGCCTAAGTTCCCAGAAAGGGGCTGGCGAGTCCAGGGCCCCTGCTTGGCCTCCACAGGCCAGCCCTCCAGCCTCCGTTCTCATCACAGGCCCCGAAGCAGTCACCGGAGACAGGGGAAAGCGTCTCAACCCCGTGGATTCCAACTGACCCCGTCGTAAACCGCTTGCACTGACCGAGGGACAAAGGGCCACCAGACGCCTTCTGACCTACTGGAGCAACGACAATTTGACGTAAAGTTCGCCCCTCCACTGTGAGGGAGCCTCAAGGACCCCAGGTAGCTGAACAGCCTATGTGCAATAAACTGAAACAGTCACAATTCCTTTCTGGGAATTTAGACTGCCAAGAAAATGTCTCAGAGAACAAACGAGCAGGCCCCATTGCAGGCCGGCTTGAAGGCCCCTGCCGCCTAGTCCCTGGCCGAAGGAGAAGCAGCTGGCTGCCCCGTGAGCAGCCCAGTGGGACAAGGAGCCGAGTCCCAGGAGGCAGGCCAAGCCGGCTGCAGGAACTCCGCTGCTGGGTAAAGCTGTCGCCTTCCTGACTGACAGAAATCTATGCCACTCAAAGCGTAGTCCAATTTAGCTCTGCAACAGACCCGAGGGGACAGGAGGGAAGGGACAGGGTGGGCAGGGCATGGGGATTCCCAGCTCTCTGCCTCATGTTCCCAGCAGCAAAATGACAATGCCCACACCTAGAGGAGCCCACGTGCCGCAGTCCCCATGTCACAGGGCAGGAAAAAGAGGTGCAGGAGATAAAGAATGTGCTTGATCTTTGAGGGACAGTCAGGATGAGACACCAGGGGCAAGATAGTGTCCCCGAGTCTCACCAGGGGCATGGTCGTGTCCCAGACCTTTCCAGGGCCCCAGCAAACAGCACATTTGTCCTCCTCACATGCTGGCAGAGGGATGGGGGGTGGCGGGGGTGCTTTCTCCTCTCCCCAGGCTCCCCTTGACATCAGGGGCCCCCACCAAAGAAGTTAGCTAACTCAGCCACCTCTTTGCAGCACTGCTGACAGACGCAGACCTGGACACCTTCCACCACCAGGGTTTCCGGAGCGCTGCCTGGCACCCCGCCCCGTGCACAGCTCCATGCTGGGCTAACCACAGGAACCACAACTCTGCCACGGGCTGGACTGGCGGCAAAGCCGGATGAGCAGATGCGGATGGCTGCTCAGGGAGTCCAGGAAGGTCCCCCACCTCCCTCCGAGCCGGCTCGAGGCTGACAGGCGGGCAGCTCAGGGCCTGAGCAGGCAAGAGCCAGGGAGGGCAGGGCCCAGGCCCACCTCTGGGTCAGGCCAGCCCACAGCACCCGGAAGCACCACCAGCCCACTCGGAATCTCCCAGAACCCCGAGGCGCTGCCGGGAGCGGTACCCCAGCAAGGAATAGTTACAATGCATTCTTTGTTCCCTCTGGCCCTCCCTCCTCGGAGATCAAAAATATTAAAATAAGTGGCAGAGGAAGTGAGAAAATCCAAACAGGCTCCGCAAATAGACCGCAAAGAGGTGAGTGGGAGGAGCAGCAGGGGGCAGAGCTGTGCTCCTCAGCAGACCCACGGCAGGGGTCCCCACGCACCCTCCGGAGCACGTGGACTCCACGGATGCTGCTAGGTCCCCTCCTCCTCTCGGCTCCAGCAGCCCAGGCCCTTCCTAAGTGGCCAGGAGTGCCAGAAGCCAGGAAGGAGGCCATGCTGGGAGGCTGCAGGTGACCACACTCCACAGCTGGGAGCAGGTACAAGAGTCAGTCAAGGAGACAAGACAGCACCCACAAACCCCCAGGTGGCAGGGCTGAGGGGTCCAGGGACCGGCCGAAAAGGAGGCTGAGCCTGAGTGTGTGTGGGGGCCAGACAAAGTCATGGTCCAGACGGAGGCATGGCAGAGCCCAGCCACCCCTGCCCCTTGACTGGAGGCCCCCAAGCCCCTCGACAACATCCACATCTGCGTTACCATTTGGGTATTTTTGTTCATCTTCAGGAGCCTTGATTCCAGGGCAGGCCTGAGGGGAGAGCAGCAAAGCACACCACACTGGCCCGGCCCGCCCTGAAGTGGTTGCTGAGACGAAGG